CACAATGTAGATAAATGATATCGATGATCAAAGTCAACAAGTATGAAGAGAACATGGAAAAGAAAGGCAAGGGTCTTGCCGACGTCGCGTATGGCGTCGACTAGGTTCGAGGGGTCAACCATGATGAAAGCGGGGAGGTGAAGGGCTGCTGCGGCTTGTCCGGAACATGGCAAAGAAAGCGCCAAGAGACGACGAAGCACTGTGTTGCAAGACGGGGTAGCCACACCAAGAGAAATGAGGCGTAGCCTCCCTACAAGGTAAGGATTCACGGCACGAAGGCCGATCTCAAGGATGGACATGGCCAGGTGGTGCTGTCGTCCTCCAGCATGGTGGCGTTGCGGGGTCGCTTCCTCCCTGCGATAGTGGGAACAATGCACGAAGGCCGGCTCAAAGATGAGTAACGGTAGGGGGGAAGGATGGGGTCCTAGGCTTTGGTGCTCACCGTTTGTTCGGGTAGGTCATTGCGGTCTTGGAGCGGGCGCGCGTCGAGTCTTGCCACCGTGCCTAGGGCATGGACGAACATCTTTGCAGGCGATGCTTTCAAAGCGACACTTTCGCTATTCTAGCTACAGACTTCAGCAGCGATACATGACTCCTGCTCTCGGCCGCGGTGACGTCAGTGCGGATCGAAGTGGAGGGCACCGGTGCGGCCTTGGTGAAGCACGACGTCATCAGCGCGGAGGGGCTCACCATGGCTGAGATAGGGTTGGGGCTTGGCGTGGCCGCGGCCGAGGATGAGGCGTAGAGAGCGACGAAGTATGGACGTGGCTTCGGCGGTTCGTCGTGGACACGATGCTTGGGGACGGGCGAAGCCTGATGCGGTCGCGGCTCCACCGGTGGTCCCCGCGGACGCGTCGTGGCGAGGATGGCGCCTCGGGCTCAGCCTCGGGTCCGGTCGGCGTTAATCAAGCTGGCAGCGCCTTGTGCTTCCCTGGCGGCGGCGGGCTCGGTGCCGAGTCACACGACGGCGTCCCGTGCGTGGGCACGCACGATGACGGCTTAGGCGCGAAGCGCTGGCGTGGTACTCGAAGGTTCCGGCAGCGGCGGTCTTCTGGGGCTCGAGGCGGAGCGATGGGAGAAAGAAGGCGGCGTGGATGGGGAATGGAGAAGGAGCGGCGGCTTGGAGGAAGAAGAAGAGGCGGCGCCTTTGGGAGGAAGAAGAAAATGGCGGCGGCTGCTGGGAGGAGCGTCTGCGGCGGCGTCGGGTACTTGTAGTGCGCCAGTTAGGGTAGCTAGGGGTCACGGACGGCGGCGATTCTCGGGGTCCGCGCTTCCTACCCACGCGGCGCGCATCGAGCGGGGGTGCGGAGAGAGCCAAGGCGCGGGCTTGGCGTTATGCAGACTGTGATTCGCAGCGGCAAGCAAGCGGCGGGCGTGGGAGCGGGTCACAGCGCTGCCGGCCTAGGGTTTCGAGGGGCGTGCGGTGCCTTGGCAGGCGTGTGTGTCGTCCGTGTCCGAGTGAGCGGCGGCGGCTGGGAGCGGCTGAGGCGTCTGGAGGCCAGGGCGCTGCCCTAGGGTTGGCAAGGGCGCCGGCTTGCGGTTGGGCCAAGGCCGGTTGGTGCGGGGGCGACGCGGCTGCTGGCCAGGCCAGGCCAAGGGCGAGCGGACGGGCCGAAGGGGAGGAGCCGGGCCAGGCTAGGCTGCTGCGCCTGGTTGGGCCAAGGGAAAGGGGATGGTGGGCTTGGAGGTATAAAAGGAAAATGATTTTTCCTTTTATTGTTTCAAGGAATTTGAATGAGTTTTTAAGAGAGGTTACGTGGAATATAAAGAGAAGTTGAAGTACAATACAATGAATTTCAAGAGGAGTTCAAAAATAATCGGAGAGGTGTGATTTTTTATGATTTCGGATCAAATGAGTTCAAAAGAAATGTGACGGGGATTTATGAGATATTCCAAAAGGAAATTAAGAGGGGTTGCTACGGATCGTGCACTCCGACACGAAACCCAAATCCAGATCAAAAACTCCGGCAAGCTCCAACAAGCAACACTATATGTATGCAACAATTTATTTATAAATTGTTCTTTGTTTGACCTAGCATCTACATGCTCCACATATTGCAGGAAAAATTTTAAAAGTTCGTATTTTTGGCTTCTCAAAAACCCGGGTTGTTACACTAACTAACTATAATAACTAACTATAATAACTAAACTAACTTTACTAACTAACTTTACTAACTAATAATAAAAACCAACCTACTAACTATAGTACTGCAACATGTTGGAAAACCTAAATAATTTCATTAGATTGGGACCCTAACTAATTATAGAAATAATTAGTCATTCAAACAAATTTTGAATCTTAACCCTAAGTAACAACAGTTCGATTCAATCAAAACATAGAGATGGGGATTACCTTGACAAACTAGAGGGGGAGATTGGGGCTAAGCCAAATCTACCAAAGGCAACGAGGTGGCCGGCGGCGGCAATGGCCGCCGCCGGCGGACTTCTTCTAGGAGCAGGAGAGAGAGGGAGAGGGGTGCGGCGTAGGAGAGGGAGGGAGACCTCCTGCGGGCCAGGGGAGGGATAGGGGGGCGTAGGAGAGGGAGAGGATGAGGAGATGGGAGAGAGGGCGGGCGCGACGGGGAAGGGGCCACCGCACCGGCGACGGGCATGGCTCCCTAGAGCGGCCAAGGTATGCTGGGAGACTGAGAGAGAGGGAGGGAATGGGGAGAGAGGAGACAGGGAGGTGCCAACCGCCACTGCAGGGGGAGGCGTGGTGGGGGGTGGCCGCGGGTGACGGGACGGGGGCAGTGGGCGGCTCCCTCCTCGATCCGATCTGAGTGGACTGAGGGAGTGAATGAGAGAGGGAGGGGAGGGAGAACAGTCCGCATGCCTGTATTAGGCTCTGCCGCGCCGTGATGGGTGGCGCGGCAGTGTCGCCGCGTCCTGGCGGGTGGCGCGTCAGGCCTAGCCACGTCACGAGTCAGCGCCGCGGCTGACTGCCACGGTGGCACCATCGCCGCGCTGCCATGCATAGCGGCGGTATGAATATGCCACGCCAGCAGAGTAGGCGCGGCCAAAAGTGTTATATTTGAACAACGTTAAAATTGAAAATAGTTTAAAAAAAGTTAAAAAAAATTATCAACGGAAACAAAAAATAATGTCACGATAGTTTGAGTTCAAATGTGCTATACTATTACTTCAACGGAAACAAAAATAATGACACGATAGTTTGAGTTCAAATGTGCTATACTATTACTTCAACGGAAACAAAAAATAATGACACGATAGTTTGAGTTCAAATGTGTGATACTATTACAAAACAAAAAAACGACACTTTAAGCGCGATCTCCATAATATTTTATTTGTAGCCAATCATCATATTATATTAGTTTTCACCAAGCATGAATAATTATAATATAATAATTCAAGGTTTGGTGTGAAATCGTAACAATCTAGTTCATAGTGTGGTGTGAAATCGTAACAATCTAGTTCATAGTGTAACAATCGTGTCCATTACGACTATCTATTCTACCGCAGCTTGTTTGTGATACGCTTAAGAAAATAATTTATGAGAAATGCTTTGACCATTCCAGGCCAAAAGTGTGGCCAAACATCTTAAATTTAGGCCTCGTTCGTTTCCACGGGAACGGCCCGGAACACGGCCTGATCCGTCCGGATTGACATGGCCCGGTTTGAAGTCAGGTCGGGCTAAGATTGACTATTCGGTTAGATTTGGCCTGGAACAAAACTTGGTCAATTCGAGCCTTTCCCCTCCCAATTTGGCCCGGAACGAAGCCGGAGCATCATAGGTCCGGAACGGAACCTGGCCGACGGCCTGGTTCTAGTGGCCACTCAATCCTGGCCTGGATTGGATATGGGCCTGGCACCAATACAGGTACTGCCGAACAAGGCCTTAAGATACTCCGTCTGTTTCAAATTATAAGTCGCTTTGACTTTTTTGGTACAACTATTTTGCTATGTATCTGGATATAATATATGTCAGATACATAATAAATTCTATGTAAAAAAAGTCAAAACGACTTATAATTTAGATCGGAAGGAGTAGTAAATATGGTTATCATATTCAGCCTGTTCGCTTGTTGGTTTTAGCCAATGCTTATCAGCCATGGTACAATATTTTTTTCTCACAACAAACCAACACCAGTCGGGCTTATCAGCCCAGAAACCAACCACCGAACATACTGATTGTGATACATGACATGGAACTGCTAGTATTAACTACATGAACTTTGAAAGCACCACATCGTGCCAACAGAACCCCCAAACCCCAAATTCTAGTCCTAGGTGAGTACCACTAGCAGAACAATGCTGCTTAATTCAACATTAGTGTTACAATCTTCTTATGGAATATGCCACAGAGAATCTGTTGCCCAAATTTCTGAAAAGACAATAGCATACTTAGCCAGGGATGGTATGACTGACAAATAGCAACGAAAACAAAACAAACAAAAAATGTTTAGACAGACAGTGTTACACCTGGTGATGTCGGGCCTGTTACTCTTCCAACCAGTGTGAACTAAAATGCACGGAGCGCCTCGATTGATGCTGAGGGCCCAACGGCCGACACAACACGCTCTCCAGCCGCACTATGGCCCATCGCACCTGCTCGGCACCACTGCCCACTGAATCACTGATGACCCGATCTACGTCACTCAGTCAGAGAACAGCGATCCAATACTGTTTCTGATAGCGCAACAGTAAAAATAAAATGGCACACGATCTGTCCTGTCAAAAAATGGCACACGATCTGCTCGGCACCACTGGTGGTCATTCTAGAAAAGCTATTCTAGGTCCGTAACTTTTGCCATGAATACATACATACATTATGTCTATATGCATACTAAAGAGTTACTCCTATATAAAGTCGTAATAACTTATAATTTAGAACTGAGTGAGTATTGAATTAATGATCTCATTACTGCACGACTGTCCTGTCAAAAGTACTGCTACTGTAACCAATTAACCACGGATGTCTCGAGGTGTACAAAAACTTTAGCAATAGTAAATGTATAACTGAACAAGCCATCCCCATCGTCCTACAGCATGGAGGTACTCATCGGATTAGCGAAGTACCACCTTCCAGACTTGGAGGGTTTTTTGTAGTGACCTTGCCGCAGAAGACTCTGCAGCATGCTGGGAGCAGCTGGCACTGGTTCATCGGACACCCGGACATAGAGGTGTTTATCAACTGTCAGCTTTCCCAGCAAGGTCCTGCATGTCTGCAGACAGAGATGGTAAACATAGAGAGGAGGGAATTTGAAATCGAACAATTAATATTTAATAACGAATATAGTACAAAGTGTAAACATGATAGTGTAGCCAACATACCTGAGGATTCAGTACATCCATACGATGGATAACGTCCTCCTGATGCACGTGGAGCAAAGCAAACGATCAAACTTTTAATTCAAACAATATTGGCAATCATAGGCAGAATCATAACTTTTTTTGAGGGAACTGGAGGGGCAAAAGCCTCTACAGGAGAGAATGATTAAAAAAAACAGGAACAAGTTTTACAAAGGTTGAGAGGAGGGGCAGAATCATAACTCCATAAGGAAATCGAAACATCTTTCAGTAACATTTAGAATAACTGTCTGATGAATTTAAGAAACCCGCATCTGGGCTTAATTGACTTCTTATATATGATATGATATATGAAGATTGAAGAGAATGAAAGGAAGCATATACATGAAACAAGCGCAGTGGAAGCACAACAGCACAAACATAAACAGAACAAGTCATGACCATCAAATGCACAATGAAACATTTCAATGTATGTGTTGGATCTACCAGTGATTTTCCCATTTTTGTACCTGAAGTTTAGAATTGTGACACTCATAAATAAAATCTTCCTAGAAGACTAGCTATTTTGTAAGTTAAATACAAGCATACTTGCTGCATATAACATTAATACCACTAATCCAAGAACTCAAAAATCCAATTGCATATAAAATCTTCAGAAAACTTCCCATCACAAAATAAGCAGGTCTAAATAAATATAATAAAGACACATCTCTGAAATTCCTGGATACTGCATGACATATCCAATAATTCGACGACTTAAACCATCATAGACAGTGCCATTCATGCTGCCATCACCATTTATCCATGGTAATATTGGATGATAAATATGACTTTTGCAAACATGACAGCAACCACTGCCCAAGTGCAAAGTAGATGGCTCGTCATCATCTGCAGGACTTTGGCTGCGCAAATGAGAACTCGCCTTCCTTTGAACATCAAGAGCTGTCAGAGTGTGCCCATCGCCAACCTTCCTTACGGTTCCATGCAAATTAATAGGCGTTGCATGCTTCTCTTCCAGTATATTTCTGGTGTCTTCAATCGATGCTACTTCAGAAGCCGGAGCTCGCAAACAGTTGCAATGACTGTATTTGACAGGTGTCCTTATATGATATTTTGGTTTATGTATTGAATCAACAATCTGCACGCCATCATATGCATTGACCTGCCATTGACAAAATTCAGACTCCTATATGTATTCAACTATTCATGTGGTGTAAATAAAGAAAATACTTGATGTTTAGAATCTCCAGAATACTTGGTCTAGGAAATTTGGGGAAAAAAAACAGTCTTACCCTCAATTGCATAATTAACTACACTGCATGAACACGTTAGAGACAGTTAATAGGGTAGTCAAATGGGCATTTTATCTACCTGCTTAGTTCTTGTGCCCAAGTCTAAAATAAGTATCCTGAGCCAGAGGGGTATAGATTAACAATGTTGATGCCAATTATCAGTGTGCTATACTCAATATAAAAGGAAAGGGAATATCAGCATCTGTCTTGAAATTTATGGGGAATTAAGAATAAGCATATGTAGACAGTAATGAAAAAAATAAAAGCAGGTACCCTTATCTACTATGTACATATATATTCACACATCTACCTTCATGACCAGCTGAAATCTCTCAAGCATATCAACGACCAAACTGATGGATTGCATTCCTGCATGGGACACAACCAAACAAAATGAACCCTACCAAAACATATGTAGCTTAATGCAAATTCTACAAAAACTATACCAATTTTTGTTCACAAGAACAAAGAGTACCTAGCGGATGCAGTGCCTGTGAAATTTCCCTCAAATTAATTCCTTGTTCACCAGTTTGATGAATGATACAAAATGCATTTCTGAACAGGTCAGAAGAAAGAAAGAATGGTTCGTCTTTATTACAAGATAATGATGGTAACTGCATGGCATATACTTTCATAGCATCCCAAGGCCATCCACTATGAGAATTCTCCAAATGAGATGCAGACAATAAACAGTGACATGAACTCAGATCATTTAGATCTGACAAGATGTCACGGCTTTCAACCTGGGAGTCAACATTCTTGCAGCCCATTTCCCTATCTAAAGTAAACACAAGGCAATCTTTATGATGTAACATTTGCATGATATTGTTTGTTTGGATCCTCTCTTGAGTCAAAGCCACTAGGATACCAGGGAAGCCTTTCTCTCGACGGTAGCAAAAGTCACTATCTATCTTGGGCAAAGGTTTCTGTTTCTTACTGCTACTGCTTTTCAACTCTGTAGCCTTGCGTTTATGAGTACGGCAATCCAATTCACTGGTATCCTCAATTAAAGGACTGAAGCTGTTAGGTTCATCAGCCTCACCAACTCCTCCACTTGGCAAGGAAGGTGAAATAAGCAGCTCTCCTGACAATACTAGAGAAAAGAGGTGAACAAGTTCCCCGCAATGTAGATCTGGATGCAAACAAACTGTACTGTCCACAATATTCTTTTGCTGCCCTGCAAGCCATTTCGAAGATTCAGAAGCCTTTTTTCCTGAACCAAATGGGAAGGGTGAATAAGAGGCATTAAAGAAGAATATTCCAGAAAGGGTTACAGGTTTCGTTCCATTTCCAGTAACCTGCAAAACAGGGGTTAGTATGTAAAAGTCAAAGATAACGGTGCAGGAATGTAAATATGCACATTTATACTCTGGCTTAACATAGTTCCAGATATCAACCTGAGAATCCAACATTGACATCAACCATAGGCAAGAATATCTGAGTGCATCTAAGTTGTATGAAGATAATCTCCTAATGGTGGTTTGTGATAGGACCACATTGCAGATATACCTTATGTTTAATCCTATGAATCTGCTACCTATAGAAAATAGGTCATGCAAAAGTTGAGAGGAAAGAGCAATACACATCAAAACATCTAGAGCATAGTGAAGAAATAAATAAAAGAGATTTGAGACAATGATGGATAAGATACACATACTAACCATGAAGTTCTTCTCTCTCAAAAAGGAAAGGGCAGTAAAAATTTCGCTCTCTGAATAAAGCTGAAAGGTGGCTATTAATGCAGCTTGCGCTTCTGAACCGAATGATGAGCTGAGAAAGAACACCTTCAGGAGCTCTAATGCATTGGCAATTGCCAAGAATTTGCATACACCTCTTTTAGTAATGTCAGCTTTGTTGCGTTCAACGATGTTTTCATGATCTATGCAGGGAATTGCCATGTTCTTACTTGCATGGACTGAATTGGTAAGTCTACACAATTCGAGATGTTCACGGAATCCAGGCTCTGGAACTACGGTGCTTGTGCTGGCTGCACATTGCACAACCTGATTATCCAAGGCAAAAAATCCATATTAAATAATATATATTGGTTGACAAGAAATATAAAATTACTGACCGGCCATACCTGCTCAGTTGGAATTTCCTCAGTGACATCATTAGAATCATTCCTCCTTTCATTCTCTGGACTGATCTGCTTGGTCTGGCTAATTTTTCCTACTCGAATGAATTCAAGGATTTCATCTAGTGCACTTCTTATTTCCAGATCATCAAAATTATCCCAGTTGAATTGCTCAAAGTTCTTGCAGCTGCAAATTGCTATTTGGGAAAGTAATTCTTCTGCTTTTGATCTCCTTTCTGTTTCAAGGTACCTATCATACCGTATTGCAAGAATGTTGCAGATTCGGTTCACAGCTATTCTTATGTTTGTATTAGCTCTTAAGGTTGACATCCTTTTACAGCATGCAGCTGGTGGAGCTGGAAGATCAGAGATAGAGCTCCAATCTACACGGGATATTTTTGCTCCACGTATTGTGCGGTATCTAGTGTATATCATGAGATTTTTTCTGAAAATAATAAAAACAAACCAGGACCCATGCATCATGGAAAACTTTGAATCAGCATTAGACCATAAGAAAATGGATGGTCAGTAAAGGAATACCTGTCAGATTCAGATGTCCAAAAGAATCTTTTCTTTCCCATGCATCTTTTACTTAACAGGGTAGATTGACTGATAAGTGGGCTGCTCTCCATATCCTTATTTGTATGCAAGGGAGTACCAATGTCATATGTGGGAGTGCTGCCATTTCGATAACATTGTCCTGGTCGGCCACTGGATGATGGAGAGATTCTCTCTGTTACTTCTTTATCCAGAATAGACTTGGCTGATCTCTGTGAGGATGATCCACTAGCTTCAACTTTTTGCTTAATAAACTTCATGGCAATTTCATCAGCAGACATTTTCCTTTTCCGAGAGGTTGATCTATTAAATTTTTGCTGATTTTGTGTATCAGAAATGCTTGCCTGCTCATGAAGATGTCTATTCTTGGAGGAAGCACAAAGCACCTAATCAGCAAAACCAATCCATCCAGTCAGTGATGTTGAACAGGAGCACTTCTTTTTCAAACACAATGCAAGTCAGCTTGATGCTATCTCTACTGGGATAAAATATGTATCGGGCAAATATCAACCCAAAAAACCCAGTTTTGTAATGTTAACTTTAAGAACACACTTGATTGGAGATTCTCACGATATAAAATTAATTGAAATATCAAAGGCAAATATTACCTTGAGCTTATCTAAAATATTTATTAAGCGTGAAAGACGGCCCTTAGCATGAGCATCCATGAGTTGATTGTATACGCTGATAGGAATATCTGAAAGCGTTCTCCTAGAACACTTAGTTATAGTGATGTCAACCTTTGGTGATCCCACAACTTGAAGAAAGAGTTCAAGAGGCATTTTTTTTATAGCTGCTGTGATTGAAAACAACTGACATGATTGATCAAGCTTCTTGTCATGCTGCCCTTCTTTCGCACAATCAAATAGGTTGCACCAATTTGGCAAGCCGCTAACATATTCCCACAGAAATTTATGTAACAGCTTTGCCTGAATCATCTTTGCACCTATGAATCCATTGGCATGAATAGCTTCTGATACTGGTGTTTTTTTAACTTTGGCTCTGCGTTGAACCCTCAGTCCATGTATGGCAGTCATACGCTGATTTTGCTTCAATTTAGCTGCTGCACCTGAACGACTTTGAGAATCAAAATTCCTTAGTCTGTTCCTAATTTGATCCATGAGTTCCGGTGACATGACCTTGACAGAAGGATTCAGTATTACATCAACGGAACGACTTCCTGTGTAGTTTGTAACAACAGGGACATTAATTTTGGTACAATTACATCTACCCTCTTGTTGAAGATTATTCAAAGTACGAATCAATGTCTTCCTGTCCATTATTTTTCCATTTTCCTTTTCAAGTTTTTGTAACCATTTACGTAATTCCACCATCAGTACAAAATTCTTTTTCTGCGTACGGAAACAGGAAAGTGTTATAAAAGACGCAGACAGATATGAAAAGGGTGTACGTACAGAGGGCATGCACATAATAGTGACGGACACATGCAGACTGCTGCTCGCCATTCTGATTAAGATACAACTAAAGATTATTCTCTTGTGACTGCACCAGTATGATAGGCCGTGCCTACCTCTATGTATCCTTCTTTGAAGCAATAAAATTAAATAAAACTGTTAAACCAGTTTCACTCAAATGAAGAACATGAAACAGAGAACTAATCTTCACTGCAACAAAAGCTGTCACCCAAATAGAATGTACTCTAAGCAAACATGCCTGAGGAATATAGACCCCACGACCTGCAGATCATTTAAATTGAAAAGGATTAAAAAATTAAGAGTCTGAATCTGACCCTTCTGTAAGTTATTTTCGATTATTAAGATCCCCACAAATCATGCTATCATGTATAATGCCGCCTATGACTCCATGTTCATCATTCTAGCAAATTCCATGTGTCTGTCAATCAAGACACATGGACCTACTAGGGGCATTGCCAACACCAACTTTAATTAACACAGTGAAGAGGGAGATTATAGATGACGAAAGCAGAGAGGACAGAACAAGATGCCTGGTGGATCCCATGTGTTCATCACTGCAGGGGTACCACAATTTCAAGAGACTCGTGACACGTAGCAAGATGGCTGTAGGCGTACCACAGTATTTGTATAGGGAAATTACTTATGTGTGTCAATGAACCATAAAAAGCCTGCCTAACATGTTTATGTTTGAAAAAATCTGGTGCAGAAAATGAAAGTGACTGGAGTCCTCTATAAAGGGTACAAGATGCACAGAGTAATACCTACAAACTATGTAAAATGCTCCTACGAAATGCACAAATACCACCGATATTTATATAAGCACATCTAACGCATGCATGTTTTGGAAGTATATAACAGGCCACAGACAAATCCCATGATCCAATAATGTTTATCAACCAAGAGGAAACTTTGGAGTCCATTTCGTGCATAAATCAAGCTCGTAGAGAGTCAAGGGCATATAGAAAAAGAACTGTAATTCCCAACACATCGGTAATTTTGGAAGATGGCTCATAAAGATTGATTGAAGCATATACGTAGCAAACAACCTTTAATATGTGAAGAATCCTTTTCTGTCTGTCATCAGAAGTTGAAGTGGAACAGTGATGTCTATTCCTCTGTAAGGCAACTTTACCTAGAAGAAAAAAAAAGGATCACTTCAGTTCAGCAGGGCAGTACTCATTTTCTTTTGAAGGAAATACAGTAGGGGAGACCACATATAGATGAAGGAAATACATTAGGGGACACCATGCCAAGTCAGATCATGTATTACAGAAACCAATGAAGGAACCACATACAAATAAACAAAGCTTCACAGGTTGACAGGTATATCAAAACTAGTTAACAAAATCAAGCGGCGCAGCATGTTTTAAATTATTAAACTGTAACAATTGTAAAAAAAGATATAACATTAAGGCATACAAACTCCTGAACCTGTCAAAAAAAATTTAGCTTTCTACCTAGGACCCTTCAACAGAATTTTGATTGCAAATTTACCTGAGTGGAGTTACATGAAGCTATTTGGATCTATAGGCACTCAAAAGTCAAGGTCAAATCAAGTTTGAGGCGGAAAAAATACCATAAGCGCTTACAGTACCATGGCCATTCCCAAAGAGACATTGAGCACAGACTGTAAAGAAAAATATAGGAACTCAAAGGACTTGAGATTCCATACCTTGTCCAACTGGTTGAGAAACTCCAACAGAAGCTTCATGGTTACTTAGGAGATGATGCACGACTGTTGTATCACGACAATCTTCTTGAAACAAGACTTTGTTATTAACACACGAATCACCCTGTGGGCTAAGAGAATCTGATTCTTTAGATGGAACAGAAGACCGTAAATTGGGACAATAGTCATGATCACGTAGCGCATCGCAATTTTGCAGAGCAGTATTAGCTTTGTACAGTGAGAAATTTTCCAAAGTCCAATATCTGTACTGTTTTGTTTTACCTACAACTTCAGCCTGCGAAGTCAAATTGAATTTTTCAAGCATAGAAGACACTCGCCTAATGAGCACTTTCGGATTGTACTTGCCCCCCAGACATCTGCAAATCTGATTGGAAGTTTAATAAGAACATGGGTTGCTAATTTCAAGAAATAAAGAAAACTAACAACATGAGATAAGCAACAGTAATTATTATTACACTAGCAAATTGCCCATGATTTGAGTTGTGATTGATCTCAAATAAATGTATCGGCAATGCTTAAATTTAAAAAATAGTTCTCTCATCGGAGAAACAAATTACTTTGCCATTTTTTAAAATTTAGAATATATGATCAGTATTATTTGGAAACTATAGTAGTGTTGTTGATGCATTCGTCGGCAAAAGCTATCAGAGCAGGTAGCGCGGTAAGGCCCAGGATTAAGGGCGGGTGCCCTGTAGCTGGCCAGGTTTGTTAGCTAAGATTGCGGGAGATATTTTAGCAAGGTGTTTACCTTGACATTGATATAACCCAATAGAATCTATTAGCTGAGATTAGGCAAAGATTAGGTAGCAAGTTCAGAGCCTCCCGAGGGGAGGGCGAACAGCAAGCTAATCCTGCCACTGCCATTGTATCCATTATTCCTCCATAATAAACCCTCAATTATCTGGCCACATCAAGTAGCAAACAGAGGCCTGGTGCAGAGAGCCAGAGACAATGACACTAATTCGCAACCACATCTGCCGGGTTGTCTACACATGAATAATTTAGATAATAAAAGGAAAAAGCAAGAGGCATGGTGCGCTGCGAGCCTGCAGCCATAGTTGAGCCCCCGGCCCACGAAGAACAACCATTGTGACGCTTTGGAGAGGGACTTGCACTTGGATTGCTGAACACCACGGCGAGGTCCTGCCCGACTCAAGGTGTCACCTCAAATTCGTGGTAGCCATATTGGCCCCATTAACCAAGTGCTCCAGCATGACAAGTATGTGCTCCGCTTTGCTCCAGGCGTGAGGTCCTTGTTGGAGTATAAGTTAATTGCCCACCTCTCCCCATCAGCTTAAGCTTTTGGGTTGAACTGATTGGTGCATGCAACTCAATATGATATCAAAGCCAGAGGTCTCGAGTTCGGATCATGGTTAGCGCAATTAAATAAAACAATTGCTGCTCACTCGTATTCCACGTTTGAGACCTGAGGGAGTCTACACATGTAGGGGAGTGTTGGACCTATTCCACATCTGAGGCCTGAGGGAGCCTCCACGTGAGGGGAGTGTTGGAGTATAAGTGAATTGCCCACCTCTTCCCATCAACTTAAGCTTTTGGGATGAACTGGTTGGTGCATGCAACTCAATAGTGTCCTACTCTTGACTCTATGGTTTCGTGGGAGCCATATTGGCCACATTCCCCAAGTGCTCTGGCACGAGTTGTGTCTGCTCCGCTATACTCCAGGCTAAGTAGATAAAGCAGATCAGTTTGATAGGGCTGACGACTTCTTCATGTCTTTTGATGACAAGTTAGTAATGATAGGCAAAAAAAGGAAGCCAAACTGTGAAACACTGAAACCCCGCCTAAGTTGATTACCTTACAGGCTTGATTTGGTTTTCTACAAAAAAACACTAGAAACTGTGAAACAGGGCTAACCTACACCACAAAGATGCTCCCCCGTTGCACATGACGCCTCAACCACTATGCACAATTGATGTTGCACCTCATGCTACAGCCAAACCCAGCCGTCGTTGTTGCTATCGTGTCATACTTATCACAGCCACTAAACCCAGAGAAAGAGACCTCACATGACAACGAAGATGACCTATGACATGGTGGTGGCAATTCCAACCTCATTCTCAAACCATTATTTGTTTAATAAGGGAGATAAGAATGTGATAAATGTTGATTAGTTTTTCGGGAGCTATTATTTCATTATTGTCACATGGTTTTTTGGAGATAAAAGGGAAAGGACTAATCTTACTGCTGTCCTCCAGGTTGCTAAATGAAATAATCAGCTGCGAAAACAACTACACCTTTTAGAACAAGAAATATAATGGCACTCTTGATGCTCAGATGCTATGAAAAATTTTAGCATATCATTAAAAAAGAGCACCACACATCAAATTGCACTGCTGAAAGGTTCAGAGAGGTACCTCAACAAGAGTTGCACCTTTTGGCCCCTGGGCGTGGATCATATCGTATATAGAGTTCTCTAATGGAAGCTCCATAAGTTGATCGGTGACCAGGCATTTATTGCCAAGTTTAAAGTTTGAGGTTGTACTTTCTCGCTTAAACTCATTTGGATTAAATTTCTTCAGAAGACGCAAGCAGCGAATGACCTGGAAAAGGGAATTATTTAAGGATGCAACTGCGTAAATGATTGAAGCTTGAACGGGGCACTGCAGACTGAATAAACTGTGTCGCTACATGCCTGACAGATTTTATTATTGCTTTTGTAGCAGTTTTGAAAGAAGTTATTGTATATGTAGTTGCAATTTCCAATATATCAGATTATTGAATGGAACTGCTACAATCATTGATGTAACTTGTGCGCATGATAATCATGGTTTTGTTGTTATTACTTCAGGGTGAGTAATTGGTCAGTTCATGCTTTTCTATCTCATGGAGGTTCCTGTCTTTAAATTGGACTGTTTTATCTGGACTCTGGGTCAAGCTGTCACCTTACACAGTTACACTCTGCTTCAGATTAGTATAATGTGGGAAAAACTAGGGCCATAGCTTCCTTGTTAAAAAAGAAAATCATCAGCATCTGAACCAGCGTACTGAATAATGATTGTACAGTAGCTAGCGTTTATGGGGGATCAAATTTTTAAAGCATGAATTGTTTTTAATAAAAGATATTATGTCAATTTATTGATTTACCATCCTTAACAAGAAGCACCATGAACCACAAGAATTAAGCCCAAAGATGTTAAGACCATAATAATCACATTAAAACCAAGGGACAAGGACAAACATCACCTCATCGTCAACTTTGGCACCAATTTCCTCAACAAGCTGTGCATCTAAAAGCCTATGCAGTACCTAAGAAAAAGGTGTCTCAGTAGCATCCCAGAAGGAGTATGGAGAACATATGCAACAAGGGATTCCAAGAAAACCTACATTTCTCCATGCCCTGTGCCCACGTGGCGTCTTGTAACTGAGGTCCTTTTTTATATGACACAGCTAGAACCTATATATATAGGAACTAGTTGCACAAAGTTAGAAAAATGAAAAATAAAAAGTAACACACAAACAAAATGAAGAGAAGAGTTTACCTTTCCACTAGCTTCTTCAAGTTTGTCACATATGGCTTTCATTGCTGGAAGATAATCATGAATAGAAACATAGCTCTTGTAATCTACAATAAGATTATCATCTTCTTGTAAAGCATCTATGTTGATTTCTTCATCTCTCCCAAGTTTCGGCTTTGCAATCTCAATTCTTTGATATGAGTTCATATTCAATTCTTTGGCATATCTTGAGAGATAAAGCAAGTTGGTGCTGACGATAAGACTATCCCGTGAATCATATTCCGTCTCACCCCCAACATCATTAGACTTTACAATTGCTTGTTTTCCAACAATTAATCCCTGGGACTGAAGGGTCTTCACAACATAATGGAAGTTGTTTGCTTTCATGCGAATACTTTTGCTTGGTTTCATGTCAATGCTTTGGTTTGGTTCCATGCCAATACTTTCCTTTGTTTCCATGCCAATACTTTCCCACAAAGACTTTTGTGTGACACCAGAAGTCCTATGACAAATTAAAGTAATTAAACACATTATAAGCAAAGGCGTTATATTTCTTCACCGATGCACATATATTTCTCTACTAATAAGAAATATATAAGAGCAATGCCTGACACTTGCAAAGAGATTAAGATAACGACATATATATAGCAAAAATGCAAGGTCAAATGTCCAAATCATATTTATGACTGTTTTTTAGAACAATATTTATGACTGTTTGAGCACCCTCGAAACCTCCTTTGAATAAACAACCATGTGGCATGTAATTAACCGAGTCAATGTGCAAGGTCTCCATATTCAGGGCCCGTTTGGTAGGGCTCCAGCTCCTCCAAAAACAGCTCCGGTTCCGACTCTTATAAAGGAGCAGATTCTCTTAGAGAGCTGAAGCCGTTTTTTTTACCGTTTGGCAAAACAGCTTCTCCGGGTGGCAAAAGGAGTAAAAAGTCCATAATACCCTTTTTTCTATTTTCTCTTTTCTTTTTTTTTTTACTTTTCCTACCTTATCCAATCGCTTGCGGTTGCAACCACACACCCGCAACGCGAGTACACACGCGTCTTCAACCTCTGGAGCGACTGGAGGCCGCACGCTCATCCCACCGCCGCCGACGCATGGGAGTATGCCCGGCCATGGGCCACCGGCGCCGCGCCGCCCTCCCCCACGCTAGCTCCTCCTCCGCGCGCCCTCTGTCCCGCACCTGCCCGCGCTCCTCCGCCCACAGCGCCGTGCCGCAGACTCCGACCGTCCGGTCCTGGCCACGCCCGTCTTCACCACGAGCGTCGGCGCCCACGCCGGGGGCAAATTCGCCTAGGGCCCCACGATCTGAGCACGGAGCCGGGTGAAGCTCGATTTTTTGGCTCCCATCGACCGATCTCGCACCAGAGAGCGCAATATGCGGGGCTACTTCGTCGGAGTACCTGCCTCTATACCCGTTTGGCTGTGGGAGCTAAAAAACAGCTCCAGGAGCTGGTTGAGAATCCCTACTAAAGGGGCTCTCAATAGATATGCAAGCTCATAGGAACTCTGCAATCATAATAAAACGGAGAGGGTGTAGGAAGATATGACAATTTTGCTCAAATGATACACAAGAGCGCACCTGCTTGCCCCGACACGTTCTAGTGTCTCCTTCTGCTTGGCACTTAGCTTCGAAGCGGAGTACCTGTGGTCATAAATCCCCAGGAAGTTATCGCTGAGAGCCGGGCTCGCAAACAGCAGAGCGCCGTGCCGTTCGGCCGCCTCCAGAGTCTTAGCTGCCGAGTGGACGAGCGTGTCATCCGGTTTACCCTGTTTACCTGTTTTTTCACCAGGTTTACGCTCCATGAGGCTGATGTGAGGGAGCGCAATGAGACGAGCAAAGAGGGCGCTCTTGACGGCCAGGTCAAGAGGGAGGCCGGCCGCCTCAAACTCCCCGGAGAGCGCAGTCCATAGGCCGGTTACTGGGAGGCCGGCGGAGAGGATGGCACACACCTCGTCCAATGCCACCGAGACGAGCACATCCATGGCCATGGCAAACCGAAGTAAAGCGGCCTCAATGCGGACGAGCACGCGCGCGCGATTGTGTGCTAGGAGAAGAGCGCGGACCTGGTGGCGTGCGGACAGTTGCGGCGCGCGGTGCTGCGGGCGAATGGCGACGAACCGGGCACGGGCGGACGGCGACGCGCGGTGCCGCGGGCGGGCGGCGGCGCGAGGGGCTGTGGGCGGGCGGGCGGCGGCGGCGCGTGGTGTTGCGAGCGCGCGGGCCTCCGTGCCCAGACCCGCCGCGTGGGCGATGCGGATACGGACGATGGGAAGAAAGGAGGAAGGAAAAAAATAAAAATAATGTTGACAGGTGAGTCCGGGGCCTTGTTCTCTTTAAATTTTTTCAACCCGATAAATAGTATCATTTTCGTCTTATTTGATAAATATTGTCTAATCGTAGACTAACTAGGCTCAAAAGATTCATCTCGTGATTTCCAACTAAATTGTGTAATTAGTTATTTTTTTACCTACATTTAATACTCCAAACAAACACTAAAAATTAATGTGATAGAGAGAGTGAAAAAAACTTGAAATTTGGATAACATCTAAACGAGGCCCAGGTCAAATCTGACTTTCATATATGCCTCCAAACCAAACCGTCCCAAACCGAGACCCAAACCCTACCTCCTCTCCTCCCCTTTCTCGCCGGCGAAATGTCCGACCGCCGCGGCGACAAGGAGAAGCCCCGCGACCGCGACCGTGAAAAGGACCGCGACATCGACCGCCATCGCGACCGAGATCGCGACCGGGACCGGGACCGGGACCGGGACCGGGACAGGGATCGCGAGCGCGACCGCCGCCGCGAGCGCGAGCGGAAGCGCTCCCGGTCCCGGTCCCCGTCGGCAGACCGGGACCGCTCCCACCGCCGCCACTCCCTCTCGCACCGAGGCCGTTCGTCCCCCTCCCCTGACGCCGGCCGCCACAAGCGCCGCCGCGAGGCGTCCCCTGCCACCGCCGACCACCACCACAAGGAGGATAAGAAGGCCGCCGACTCTCACGCGACAACCAAGGGCGGAGGGGACCCCGTGGCCGCGGCCGTGGCGGTGGGTGACGGCGACGTGGATGCGGAGGAACTGGAAATGATGAAGATGATGGGCACCCCCGTCGGGTTCGACTCCACCAAGGGAAAGCACGTGCCCGACGCCGACGTCAGCGGGGTGCGTGTTGTCACCAAGCGCCAGCCGCGCCAGTACATGAACCGCCGCGGCGGATTCAACCGCCCTCTGCCGCCTGAGCGCAACCGCTGAGGAGGGGAAAAGGTCTGAATCTCTCCCTATCTCTATGTTGATAGTTAAGAACTCAAGATTATTTAAGTTAGCATTTGATTGGGTAGCTGTTGCAACTCGATTTTGCATCCTACTGAAAATCATGAGTTGTGCTTTTATTGTTTATTATTATACTCACTCTATTCCAAATTATAAGACATTTTGGCTTTTCTAGATATATAACTTTTGTTATACACTTAAATATACACGATGTCTAGATAGAAAATAAAAGCAATGTATCTAGAAATGCCAAAATGTTTTATAATTTGGTACGGAGGGAGTAGAACTTCTATGCTGAATTACTCTCTTGGGATTTCTTAAGAAGGAATTGTATGATTTCTGCGCCATGCTTTTCATCTCAGGAATACTGTTTATATATGCATTATAGATAATAATAAATAATGATGTTGTTGGGTAACGTTTGGGCATACCCCTGCTATTTCACATCCACACCCATGAGATCTTTCCCCAATCCAAACCCTCCCCATACCCATTTAAATTTAAATTATCCATACCCGATGGATAATGGGTAATAATTATTGGATATGGGTAACGGTTGACACAGAGGACATCTCTCTACGACTCTGCTTAGTCATTGGAAGACAACGGCCAGAGCAAATCAACGCTGATGCACAAGAGATTGTTAATACCATTTTTTTCAACTTAAAAATACTGTAAGTCAGTTTGTATGATGAACAGTGAAAATAATGATGAGGACCAAAAAATATTAATGTTTTCGTAGCTGCTGCAATGGAGACATCAACCATAGATATCTATTGCTGAAGCATATATCTACTAGCTTCATTTTATTTTACAGAAATAAATAGATACTTTGGCCAGCTAATTTTCTTGTATTGCCAACCTATTCTACTATTCAACTTGCACTTCTTCATTGACATGTTTGTAAACTCTTTCTTTCCTTCTAACTGTTCATTGGCTGAAATACAAACAAGAGTTAGCAAACAATAAAGAGATGACCGGACATGGTTTGCAATGCAGTACAATCCATACATAAAGATAAAAAATTTATCTGTCAAAATGACAACAACGCAAGCAACAAGCACTTAGCCATACATGATTATGAAAAAAAATTAACATCCACACTTGGTCAGATTAAGAGGACTCAAATTTAAACTTCGAGAAGAAGACATCTTTTTTTTTGATAAATCATCATCCATACTTCCATGTTGTGAAGTGACAATGTGACAAATCAACACTAATAATCATACAGAAGCGTTAGAGCTTAATCATACAGAGCTTGATCATACAGAAGACATGTTCAGCTCAGCAAACACGTAATCAGCTAGAAGCCTAGAACTGCACATACTAAGAGGCCAACAACAGAAGTATTAGAGCTTACCTCCTGCAATATGTCTAATCATCAATAGTTAGATCTTCACTTCTAGCTGGTACAAATGATTCAGAAATAGGCACTCTCTTCTACAACTCTGGTCTCTACTGTTTCAAATAAAAGATATTAGAAGTGCATGTTAGTGGATAGCTATCTCACTATGTTTTTTGCGATAGTGGTTTATACAATATTTTCTACAAACCTAGTCAAACTTAAAAAGTTTGACCAGCACGAAACCCTATGCGATACTCTTTTTGGGACAGAGGGAGTAGGCGATAAGGCGTACCTAGCTCGGCTTGGGTCGCCTTTGAAATGATGTATTGTATATATATACATTCCAATTTCCAGTAACCTAATAATGCTGTTAGCAAGAATTTTTTCTATTATTTAATTTTGTTTTAAAACAATTATCTTCCTCCAATCACAATTATAGGCCTATTAGGACATTGACATGTGTTCCATATTGCACTTTGACTAACAATATTATTACAAACATATTGTATTAAATAGAAGTAGTTATATACTCCCTCCGTCCAGGAAAGAATGCAATTCTCGCTTTTCAAGAAGTCAAACAGTTTGAACTTTGACTAAATGTATATAAAAAACTATTATCATTTATGATATAAAATAGTTATCGTTGGATTAGTTATATATTTTCATAATAAATTTTGTTTGGAGACATAAATGCTAATATTATTAACTATAAACTCGGTCAAACTTGAGTTCCTTTGACTGGCACGGATCCCATAATTGCATTCTTTCCTGGACGGAGGGAGTATTATGAAAGCATTCTTGATGAGGTATCAGGCACGATTTGACTTGCTGCGGTCTTCAAGATCACACTTTGACCACTACTTTCTCTTAAAATATATAATTCGTGGCAACAAAAGTTTGATCATTAGAAAGTATTTCTTACAAATCCAATGTAACCGCTTTTGTACTTACACTTTTCATATGATTAGGCTAATTGTTGATCAAAGATAAAAAAAAAGTGAATTTTGAAATACGTGCATGCCTTATATATTGGGACAGAGTATCAAACTTGTATTGTTAATCTATATATGAAATTTTTTATATTGATAGTCAAAGTTTAAAAAGTTTGGCTCAAAACCTTGATGGTCTTGTATTTATGATTATAGGAAGTATGGTCTAAGTTCTTGGCAGCTACTGTTAATGATTTTCTGAATAATATCAACTGATTTTTTTTCTTTTCTTTTTAATGTTTTACAGGATCATGTGCCAACACAAAGATGTGCTGATTTTGGGTAGCGGTTACTCTGTTACTGGACAATGTAGGAGATGAGCCACTGCTGAGCATGTATAAACCTTGATGGTTATTTACTTTGCAAAACACTGTAGAATGATATCCTGTTCTCTTTTGTCATCGTTTATTCTGTCGGCATTCCAGGAAAAACAGAATTTGGTGGCACATTTTGAAACTATGGATTTACAGCTTTAACGTGATGTTTCTGGCTTTCTGCGTGCAATTTGGTGAGCCTCAAGCAATGCTTGTGCAGTCCTTTGTTTCTTGATTTCCACCGCTTACATTTATGTTTGTTCTTAGCATTTGTTTCAGGTAATCAGGCATGCACCACATGGATTCCCAAGTGAAACTGCTTTTGCTTTTAGTGTATGCTTTGCAATGAAATTATTGGTAATGGACATGAGTGCAACATTTGTAATTATAAGTTTCGAAGATCTTACTGAGCTCTAGCAGAAACCTAAGACCTGTTCTTTCAGTAACACGTAGAACAACTCTTGTAATAGTATAAGTTTAGGCTACTGCATTAGATAAGTTTAGGCTACTGCATTAGATCCAGAATCTACTTACGAGTTTATGGTTTGAGGGAGTGATAGGGCAATGGTTTGAGGTTGCTAGATCAGTTACTAGTTGCTTTTATGCTCCAATGGTTGTTTCATGTAAGTTTGTTGTGGCGTGAAATGACCACAATAGAAGAGATAGAAAGGCGTGAACAGTAAACTGCAGGTACTGTTTTTTTGTGTACATGGCCTTGTTTAGATTGCTGCCACGAATCAGTATTTGGTACTGTAGCACTTTCGTTTGTATTTGACAATTATTATCTAATCATGGCCTAATTAGACTCAAAAGATTCGTCTCATAATTTACAATTAAACTGTATAATTAGTTATTTTTTTTATCTATATTTAATACTCTATGTATGTGTTCAAAGATTTGATGTGATGAAGAGAGAGTGAAAAAACTTGCAATCTAAACAAGGCCCATGTGTTTAGGGAGACAACAGTTTAGTTTATACGCTGATGGTGCCATCCTGACAATTTACTGTGCCTGCTGTCGTGCCCTGTTTAGCAGTAAACATCTTCACCTGCACATGCTGCTGTTTGGAATGGAAGCAACGAGATTGCATATTGTGTTTGTTTCCCTTAGTTGTCACCTGACCACAGCCATGTTTTTCGAACACATGTACCAGAATTTTGCGTCCGTTGCTTTCGAATGTGGATTATCTTCGTCCTTTGGCACACCTGCTTCATCTTTTTTTAGAGTTCTACTAGGGTCAAGCCCCTGCCTTGATGGAAGACGTCAATTCGGTCACAACAATCGGATGGGAAACACCCAGGGGCCATGCTAGCGCCCGCGCACTGCGCATGTTGGCCTGTTGCGGCCCGACCGTGCTGCTGCGCCTGCGTCTGCTTGCATGCCTCGCGCCTGCTGCTGTGTGCTGCTGCTGCACCTGCATGGAAGAGCATGTGCGTGGGGTCTGTCTGCTGCATGCGAGAGAGGTTGGGAGCACAGCGTGCGTACACGTGTTGACTATGGAGCCGTCCAGCTGCATGCGAGAGAGAGGGTGGGAGCTTGCACGGAAGAGCATGTGCATGGCGCTTAGCTGCATGCGAGCATGCGAGAGAGAGGGTGGGAGCACAACGTGCCTACACGTGTTGACCCTGGAGCCGCCCAGCTGCATGCGAGAGAGGGTGGGAGCACAGCGTGCGTACTCGTGTTGACCTCGGTTGCAGCGGCGGATCCAGGAAATATTTTAGGGGGTTTGACAACAACAACTTTGCTTCGATCTTAAGTCTTAGCCCCTCTGTTTCTATAGAACTTTGCTTAAAAAATTCATAGGGCTCTCTGATAATTTGCACCGATTCGGTATGGGTAGGGGCTTGAGCCCCCCCCCCATCATCACTGGATCCGCCCTGCTTTCGGTTGCATGCTCCATCGTGGAGGACAAGTCTGGTGGCGTCCGTTGGGTGATGGCCGGTTCTGGCGCTCTGCATGCGCGCATACGCTTTGATTAGAGAGTGCTCGGCCATTTAGGCATTGACCGCCCGTTGCGTACACGTCTGACTATTGGAGCTGGCTCGTATGGGTGCGTGCAGCGCGTGCGTGCCCACAAGTCAGAGCGCGTGGGGAGCAGCACCTGCTACAACATAATAAAAACAGGTGAAAGAATTGAAATATACGTTTGCAACATATGTATAACCACTACAACATATGCAACGCCCAGATAAATACTTGTAGCATACGTCTGAAAATAGGTGAAACATTTGGAACACACACTTGCAACGTATCTGTATAGCCACTGCAACATATGTAACATACAGATGAAAGCATGCAACATCCAAGTGAAATAGCTGAAACATTTGGAAAACACACTTGCAACATATGTGTATAGCCACTGCAACATCGAGATGAAACACTTGCAACATACGTTTGAAACAGCTGAAATGTTTGAAACATATACTTGTAACACACGTATATAGCCATTGCAACATATGCAACATCAGATCTACTTTTGCAACATCCAGATAAAACATATGCAACGTACATCTGAAACGCATGAAACATACAGTTGCAATGTGTTCATCTACCTGCTACCACCCAATGAAGGCTCGTTGACGCGGGCATGGGGGAGCGCAGCGCGAGGCACGAGGCACGGACCGCGTGCGGCGCAAGGCACGGGCGGGGTGCGTGGCACAAGACAGGTCCGGCGCAAGACGTGAGACGCAGGGGCGCGCAGCACGAGACGGTTCCATCCAGTGGAACCGTCCAGTTCTTTTTTTGATAATAGACCAGTCAGTCTGCAAGCTCAAACCGAAGGCGTGCATCCGGACGGACCAGAGAGCATTACCGTTCAGTTTAACTAACCCAGACAGCATAAGTTTAGAACACCACCCTGAGAAAGACTAACACAGATAGCTCGCTAGCTTAGACTATTGCTACCAGAACCTCCCAATGGTGTTACATGCCACCAGGTATGCCCAGCCTGGATAGGTCCATTTCCCAGAAAAAACTGCATCTTCGAAAGCAGTACCCCTTGATAACCTCTCCTCAGCTTCAACAGGAATGTGATTGCTCTTCCAATTAAACGCATTCAAATATAGGAACCGATCTCCTTTGCAGTCCGGCAACATCAACGTAGCCTCAAAGGTGTTGTTGCTAGGCTTTTCAGCTCTGCAAGCTTGGAGATGAACCCCGTTCGGCTTACCCCATATTCGGCTTGTTCGGCTTCTTTTTTCAGCGGGAACCGTGTTTTTCTCTCACAACAATTCAGTCAGAACAGTGCTTTTCAGTCAAAATTCTACCAGCCGAACGGGGACTTGCTGATATTCTGGTGGGCAGAGCACCTCCCAACCTTGCACCATCACCGAAATCTTCAAGAGCAGAACTTTCATACTTTTGTCACAAAGTTTCCTAAAAACATAAACTATTTCTCGGTTTCCATAACTCCCACATGGCCACATGGCTGCAGCATAGAAAATGCTAAGCACTAAATATTTCTTCTCACTTAGCCACAGTTGGCCAACAACAACAAAATCAGAACTTGGGTGGGTCCGTGGGTGCGTTTGGAGAAAAAGCACCGTAGCTCTGAGGGATAACGTTCCATCTCAGTTCGAGCTCCGGGCTTGGCTTGATGAGCTTCCATTATATTGAGCATCCGCTCCATCAATTTACTCGTGACGCCGGCGAGACTCCTCGTCTCTCGTCAACATCTGCTGAACTGTCATGAACCCTTGTGGTGGCTGACTGGCTGGGATGGTTGAGGAGGGTCATTGTTCCCACTCCCCGTCCCTTTTTGGATATTTTTAACCATCCTGTCCAAGACATAACTCCCATTAGACATGTGTCAAACAAAAGGTAACATAGCGAGGTGAAACGATGCATTCACGCAATAAATATAATCAACATGCTTAAGGGCACGCTTGGATCGAAGGAAAATTGGAGAAAAAAATACAGGAATGTAATTTCTTTAGAAAAGCTTTCTCTCTCACCTTTTAGAACGTAGGAAGTGATACAAAACTTTCTAGAGAAAAGGCTTAGGAAGTTGTAATTTGGGAGGAATCTGAAAATAAGCTTTGAGCCAAGGGAAACTTTCCTGTGGCCACTTGCTGCTTTCTCATTGCATCGAAAGCTATTAACATGTTACTTCCTACGTTTTTCCTGTGTTATGGATTTCTACGTTCCAAACACCCTTTCGAGTTATTTCCCGCGTTTTTTCTTTCCTCTGTTTTATCACTATACACTCACTTTATTCCTGTGTTTTTTCCTATTCCTATGTTTTTATTCCTGTATTCCAAGGCCCTAAATGGAATTACATAGCCCACATCTAATGCATTGTGCACAAGGATTCATAGGCCATATAAACACAGCTAAAAAGCAGCAGCTGCTGCTGGCACAGTGCCTGACTGACTGCAGCATCTGTTTAGCTGATTTTTTTTTAGCGAGGAAGCTGTTTAGCTGATATTCAAACAGGCACGGCACGAGCACGATTGACATATCATGTCATAGTAGCATCAAGGCATCAACGTCGTCAGGCCGCGTTGCCAGCGTAGCAGTGGGTGCTTGATTCATCCTCCTGATATTTGGACATATACATAGAGTATTAAATATAGACTAATTACAAAACTAATTATATAACTTGCTACTAATTTGTGAGACAAATCTTTTAAATCTAATTAGTCTATGATTTGACAATATGGTACTACAGTAAACATATGCTAATATCGGATTAATTAGATTTAAAATTTCATCTCATAAAATACTAACGGATTATATAATTCATTTTTTTATTAATATCCAAACAATTTATGCGACAGCTTTTTAAAGGCATCTGAAATTTTAGTCACCGGATCGAACAACCTAATAGCACTCACAACATTTCACGACGTGGCATACCTGATGAGCCTGCTGTTTTTTATTCTTTTTCCTGTTGATACGATCTGTTTGATGGTGAAAGTTCGGTCGCATATGGCCAAACTGATCTGAGACTGTCTCAACAAGGATCCCATATCACCTAAACTCAAAATAGATAATAAAAGATATAAAATTAGTTTTCAATAAAATATCTATATAAGAGATCTATTTTAGGTTGTTTGAAAGGCACAATTAAAATATGGACATTCTCTCTTCTGAAAACTCACTTACAGAAAGGATTTTCTTGTAGATCTCGTTGTTGGAGAAGATACCGACGCATTGGTCTATAACGCTACCTAAAAAAACAAATATGTATTGTATTTTAGGGGTGGTTGTTGGAGATACCTGAGCTCCATTATTATATCGACACGAGTGCACGACTACACGAGGCACACACCAGCCTGCTAGCACACTGCTACACTTTGTTTTATGCCTCGTCTCCATTAAGCGGATCGGACGAGATCGCTCCGACGACCTGCGTGCTACCGGCAACGATGCAGCCGGACAACGCTGGCAAGCCGATCCGATGCAAAGGTACGTCTACACTGACTCTACACACGCCCTTCCTCGCCGGCCTTGTGATCGTCTCCTCGTCGGTTGAGCAGCGGCGGTTAGCAAGGCGCCAGGGCAGCCGCTGGAGATGGAGGAGGTGGAGGTGGCGCCGCCGCGGGCGCACGAGGTCCGCGTCAGGATCATCTGCACCTCCCTCTGCCACACGGACGTCACCTTCTGGCGCATGAAGGTACGGATCAAGTCGGTTAAGTGTTTGGTAGAGTTTCATCTCATTGATTTTTGATTTTTTTCGATAGAATGATTCTGATAGGAGATAGTTGTTTTTTTTGAAAGCTTCAACGGGGGATTAATCCCCACCTGGTTTTATTGATTATAGCTCATCATTCATGGTTACAAAAGATTTGTACAGGAGTTTTCGCTAGAGTAGAAACACAGATTACATTGGATTCGAGTTCACCGAGATGTCAAGAACTTTAGTCCACTCATCAATGACTTTCTTACTTTTCTTTGACATCCTTACTCTCCAAAGATTTGCTTCCGCTTTGCACAGGGGGATTAGCTGCCTGATAGTGATTTGCTCATCTCTGAAGACAAATGCATTCCGTCTTTTCCATATTTGCCAGCAGCACTGTACTGTTCATCAGGGATACCTCTGATCTTCTGAATGTTGTGCCAATTGCCGCATTGGAGGTTGCTGCTGGACTGTAGTCCAATCTGAGACCAAAACTGTGCAGCTATGGGGCACTGAAAAATTAAGTGGTCCGGCGTCTCTTGATCCGCACCGCAAATGAGGCAGGCAGGAGAGTCAACAATATGCTTACGGAAAAGGTTGGACCGACATTGGATTCTACCTTTGAGGAGAAGCCAGAAGAACATCTGTACCCGAGGTGGCGCTGCATTCTTCCAGATGAAGGATGAGGCGGGATCATTTTGCTGCCCTTTGGCCGTACAGTCTGTAGATAGCCGAGGTGTCTAGTTTATCTCTAGAGCGGCTAAAGACCGAGAGTCTCGTGTCCGGTTGGTTAGATAGGTGCGAGTGTTGTAGAATAACGCGTAGTTGCTGGAGTTCGGCTTGAGCTTGGCTTGACATGCGGTTGACAAAGCATCCCTGGAGGTTGGAGTTGATTGCCTGCTGTACAGTGCATGTCTTGTTGGTGCAATGGGAGAAGAGCCTCGGAAAGCGATCTTCAAGGGCTTCGTCTCCAGTCCAGACATCCGTCCAAAAGAGGGTGGATCGGCCATTTCCCAGCTCAACCGTCGTCAGAGCTTGGTATAGCGGTAGCAGCGACTTGAGTAATTCCCAGTGATGGCCCAGGTTATCTCCGTGCATGTTGGCAATGTCAACTTTGTCTTTGATCCAGATTGCCCGAGCCGACGAGTCCGCGCAGTGAAGGCGGTGAATGAGGTTTAGAAGCAGGCATATGTTGTGCGTGCCAAAATCTCTGATCCCAAGCCCGCCCAGGTCCTTGGTGGTGCAGACATTTGTCCATGCAACGAGGCATTTTCCGGCTGAGAAATCCTTGTTGCCGGCCCAGAGGAAAGAACGCCGGCGTTTGTCAACTTGATTTATTACCTCTTGTGGAATCTGCGTTGCCGACATAATATAGACCAGCTGTGCATCCAACACAGAGTTGATTAACACTACCCGACCCATGTTGTTGAGCAGTGATGCTTGCCAAGAGGATAGAAATTTGTCAGTTCTGTCGACATAAGTTGAGAAGGCGGACACTGGCAGCTTGGAGGCAGATAGTGGAAGACCCAGGTAATTTTGGGGGAAGGATTGCTGAGCACACCCAATGACAGCAGCACACTGAGTAGCCACCTCACTGTCCATGTGTATCGGCACCATGGTGCTCTTGCCATAATTGATCTTGAGTCCAGTGGCCTCAGAGAACATGTGCAGGATATTTTTCAGAGCTTGTACATCTGCAATGTCACCCCTCATCACGATCAGTGTATCGTCTGCGTACTGAAGCACTGCACAAGGTCTTTCACTGTCCACCGGATGGCGCACTGTTGTTGCCAACCGAATCAAGTCCTGTAGGGTATCAGCCACAATGAGGAATAGGTATAGCGACAACGGGTCACCCTGCCGAAGACCACGCTTGCAAGTAATCCATGGTCCTGGGCAACCATTTACCAGAACAGCTGAATTTGAGGACGAAAGAATGTCCTGCATCCAGCTGCACCATCTATCCTGGAAACCCCTTGCTCGCATAATGGTGTCAAGGCTGTCCCAAATAACCGTATCAAAAGCTTTGGCAAAATCCAATTTGAGCACAAGGGACGGCAGCTTCCTTTTTGTTGCAAGTCTGCACCAGTTCCGCTGCGAAGACGAACGTCTCGGAGATGGAGCGGCCCTTCAGAAAGCCTGTCTGATGCAGATCGATCATGTTCCCAATTTCCTTCTGCAACCTTCTTGTAAGTATTTTTCCAAGTATCTTGATGGAGCAGTTCTGCAGGCAAATAGGTCTGAATGCATCCACTGCCACCGCTCCAGGCTTCTTTGGAAGAAGAACCATGTACGAACGATTGATTCTTTCTAGCTGTGCTTGTCCATGGTAGAAGGCAGACAAGAACGCCATCAGCTGCGGCTTAATGAAGCTCCAACGGCATGGTCGTTTGCTCGTATACGATCGTGGATTATAAGCTGAAATAATATTTTTCTCTCACACTAAACCAGCAGCAGTAAATAATCCACAATCGTTTACGGCCTGCCGAACATGCTGCAAGCCGCCCTGTAAAAGGATGGGCTGAAACCATCCGGGGCGGGGGCACCGGTTCTCGATAGAATTTGTTGAACCTCTAGGAGCAGATCAGTGGGTAAATTGCTTAACTTAGATAAGTTTGGTGATATACCTCGCTACATGCAGTTGCTGCCATGGCGCCGCCGTCACGGTGGCCACGACGTGTCGGAGTAGGAGAAACAGAGACGCGCCCGCTAGGTCGTCGTAGGTAGTAGCAGTGTAGGCGCGGCGCTGGTGGCGGCGGCGAAGGCGATGGCGTTTCCCGTCGCTTACAGCTCCCCCTTCTAGATTGGACTGGGGTTAGAACATCACGGTGGGGCTGGCAGCTGCGGTGAATCTCGTGTCATGTGCCCCAGCCCCCAGAGTCTTTTTAATAGTGCTGCGCGATGGGGGCCCATCAGCCACTTAGAACCGGCTGAGCGCCCCCGATCAGGGCGTGGATCAAGGGCCCAATTGGCCATTGGATCAACTGGTGGAGATCATCCTAACATTCTCCTCCTTGATCTCACCTTATGACTTAAACGTAACTTACTTTATCTTTTTTCTATTCCATCACAGATCAGTGCATAGAGCGTGCCTCATCGTCACGGTCAGTTGCCATTAGATTAAACAACTACAATGCACCACCTCTCTGTTTTGAAACAGATTCTCAACTAGGCCATTAGTATCCAGAAATCATAGGCTTTTCTGTAAACCCATGTCGACTGTGTGTTCTCTAAATGCACTGGGTGGTTAGCCTTTGGTAAGTGGATCCGTAAGTACTTGCTTGGTACTTATATGCTCAATGCTTTTAAAATAATTCTGGATTTTCTCCTTTACAACATATAATTTAGTGTCAATGTATTTGGCAGCACACTTGATATATTGTCTTAGGAATTAACTTATTTTAAATGGTTACTGTTGTTGTCTACCATTGTTAAATCCGGGTACAAATTTTCTTAACCTCTTTTGCTTGTTTCTTAAGTCTCATGTCAAGCTATACTATATTATGCATCACTGATGACACTACAACTGTTTCTTTAGAGCTTTTCCATAATAATATTCCAACTGCGAGTGTTAGCAACTGCTGTAGATTTCACTACACATCTCGCCAAGACTTAACATTTGTATCCTCGACTATTTGAGAGTACTTGTTCTTTCTTACTCAGCATGAGACCTATAATACTTTGCAAAATTACAAGACATTCTCAACTCCATTCCAATGATCTATATCTAGACTGGACTTCTGCCAAAATATTCCGGATACATAAACTACGTCAGGATAAGTTCTTACTTGTACTTGTACACTCATCAAGCTTCCAACAGTTAAAGCATATGAAACCATGTTCATTCGATCGATCTCATATCGGTTTCTAGAACACTTAAAGTTCCCAAATCTATTATCCTTGACTATAAGAGCAGGTGTAGGTTTACTCGCATGCATACTTTATTTCTTTAAAATCTTTTCTAAGTATGCCTTTGCGATAGTCCTAATACCCTATTTTTTTATCTCGGTGAATTTTGATTCCTAAAACCAATGACGCTTCATTAAGATCATTCACATTGAAACTTGAGGACAAAAACTTCTTCTTCTCCAATGGCATATTAACATCACTACTAGTGAGTAGGATGTCTTCTATACACAGGATGTGGAAAAGAATTTTCCATTATTGAACTTCACATAAACGCTATTGTCCTTCTTATTTTCTTTAAAACCCAAACTTTCTTATTATTTTCATCAACTTCAAATACTACTATCTAGAAACTTACTTTTAACCCATAAATGGATTTCTACAGGCAACATCACATATGTTCTTTTCTTCCACGATAAAATCTTTGGGGTTATGCCATGTAAACGTTTTCATACAAATCCCCTTTGAGAAATGTCGTATTTACATCCATCTAATGTAACTCTAAATCGTAATGTGCCAACAACGCCATTATGATTCTAAAAGAATATTTGCATAAGATTGTAGAGAAAACTCTCATTGTAATCTATTCATTCTCTTTGCGTAAAGCATATTGCTACAAGTCGTGCTTTATATCTTTCTACATTCCCTTTGAAGTCACATTTTGTCTTGTAGACCCATTAACAGTCTACTATTTTGGCTCCATTAGGAATTACTTCTAAGTCCCAAACACCGTTGGTATTCATCGAATTCATTTCAACTTCTATAGCTTCTTGCCATTTAAACGAGTAAACGCTTCTCATGGCTTCTTCAAATGAGGTGGGATCACCCTCTATTTGAATTTCTTTATTAACATAGACTTCATAGTCATCAGAAAAACTGGTTTACTAATTCTTTAAAACCTTCTGGGGCCTCAACTACTGGCACTTTCATATGGGACTGTTGTTGCTCTTCATTACCAAGAGGCAATTGATTCTACAGGCTCCTGTATTACAAGATCCTTGTTAATATTATTCATCTTCTTCGAAGAGCTAACAACAGGTGTTGTATTAGTCATACAACATCAACGGGTATTGAGAAACTTGTTGCTCCTG